TGTGGAAAGTCCAAGGTCCTCCCCCCCTCCGTCCATGTCTAGGAAGGTGAACATCCAAACTGGCTAGGCTCCCACAAAGCCAGAACATGAAGTAGGATCAAAACCCCGTGCCATTGTCCTTGGCTTCTCATCAGCCCTCATTGTTCGCCATGTTCAGAGAGTCCGGTTTTATCCCATGCTTTTTCAGTCACAGTCCAGCTGGCCTTGGTGAGCTCCCAATAGATCAACCCCACTGTCTCAGTGGGTGGGTGCACCCCTCGTGGTACTGACTTCCTTGCTCATGTTCTCCCTCCTTCTGCTCCTCATTGGGACCTTGGGAGCTCAGTCCGGTGCTCCATTGTGGGTCTCTGTCTCTATCTCCATCCATCACCAGATGAAGGGTTCTATGGTGATATGCAAGATATTCGTCAGTATTGCTATAGGATAGGGTCATTTCAGGTTCCCTATCCTCAGCTGCCCAAGGAACTAACTGGGGACATCACCTTGGGCTCCTGGGAGCCACTCTAGGTTCAAGTCTCTTGCCAACCCTAAGGTGGCTCCCTTAACTAAGATTTGTGCTTCCCTGCTCCCCTATCCAACCTTCCTTTATCCCAATCATCCTGTTTCCCCAAGTTCCCCCCATCCTTCCCTTCTCACTTTTCTCTCCCCATCTCCCCTTAACCCCATCCCACCCCACCCCCCAAGATCCCAATTTTTTCCCCGGCAATTTTGTCTACTTCCCATAGCCAGGAGGATAACTATATGTTTTTCTTTGGGTTCACCTTCTTATTTAGCTTCTTTAGGATCACCAATCATAGACTCCGTGACCTTTATTTATGGCTAGAAACCAATATGAGTGAGTACATCCCATGTTCATCTTTTTGGGTCTGGGTTACCTCACTCAGGATAGTGTTTTCTATTTCCATCCATTTGCATGCAAAATTCGAGAAGTCATTGTTTTTTACCGCAGCGTAGTACTCTAGTGTGTAGATATTCCACACTTTCTTCATCCATTCTTCCATTGAGGGGTATCTAGGTTGTTTCCAGGTTCTGGCTATTACAAATAATACTGCTATGAACATAGTTGAACAAATACTTTTGTCATATGATAGGGCATCTCTTGGGTATATTCCCAAGAGTGGTATTGCTGGGTCCAGGGGTAGGTTGATCCCTAATTTCCTGAGAAACGGAAACACTGATTTCCAAAGTGGTTGCACAAGTTTGCATTCCCACCAGCAATGGATGAGGGGTACCCCCTTCCTCCACAACCTCTCCAGTAAAGGCTATCATTGGTGTTTTTGATTTTAGCCATTCTGACAGGTGTAAGATGATATCTCAAAGTACAAAAGTAAATCTTAACAGTTTTTAGTCTTGAAAGAAGTATGAGGGAGAAAATAACTTACCCTCTTTCATTTTTTCAAGTTTTTGTATTGCTTTGTTTTTTGAAGATAGTCTCGTGTAATCCAGGTTGGACTCAAACTTGATGTGTAGCCAAGGATGACCTCTACCTCTCCTAGTGAGTGTTGGAAATACAGGTGTGCTCCACCACATCTGGTTTCTGTGATGCTGGGAATTGAGCTTTGGACTTTGTGCATGCCAGGCAGAGATACTGCTGGCTGTCTTCTTGTTGTCTTCTCTTTCTAATCCAAGTAAGTCCCCAGAATCCCATGAGTAGGCAGCAGCCTTGCCAGCACCCCCTTCAACCCAACTTCCCAGTTCTGCCATGTCTGTTGTGCAGAACCTTTAACACACACACACACACACACACACACACACACACACACACACACATACTGCCTCTGCCAAGCGCTGTGACCTGTAGTTGTTACCACAGGACTCTGCTTCCATTAGCTGTGCTCATCTCTGAGGAGAGACCTGGCGCTCCCACTGCATCCTCAGGACCAATGGCAGCCTGGGCTCTGCCAGCTCTTAGAGGTTCTCATCCACGTGAGAGGTGTGGGGAAGGGCCAGGGAAAGTGCGTCCATAGGCCTGTCCCTCCTTGGTCCCTCTCCTGTGGCTGCTGTTGGCTGTCTGTTACTCCAAGAGGCTTAAGAGAGTGTTCTCAGTTGGGTGTTGCTTTCCAGTGGAGCACAGGCTCCATCCTGTCATCTGTTCTTGCCCACCCCATTTCTGTTGTAGTCTTGATTTGTGGTCCCCTCGTGTTGAAGTGTTGAGGGAGCATTAGCTCATTAGGAGTAAATACCCGTTTGCTTAAGTCTGCCCTGTTTTTGTAATGATCACAGCTGGGATTCCACCAAACTGGCAATTCCTTCAGGCCCAGAGCCTAACAGCTTGAGAGCCAGTGAACTGATGGGGCAGTCTGCCAGGGGGTGAGATCATCCTGGCGAGGCTTGCTTCCTGAAGCTCAGTGTTGGATGCACTTCTCAGTCAGCTGTGAATTCAGGGTGTTTACTGGTACCTGAGATGAGCTGGGCAGCCCTGGCCTGGCTTTCATGGAGACCTTAGCAGCAAGTACAAGGCCTGCCTTCTTCTGGAGGCATTGAGACCTCTCTGGCGTTGCCCAAGCTATCCATGCTCCCTGTCCAGGCCAGAGTGACTTCTTTGGGTGGGATAGATCACTGTGCTGTCATTAGTGTGTGTCAGGAAATAGACCCTGTGGAGGAGATCCCATGGTCAGGAGTTAGGAAACTAAAACTTGTGGTAAAAACATGAAATGGGGGCCTTAAGAGAGCAGTTATTCAACCCTTTGTGTGCAGAGTATCAGGAGCAGATCTGAGATTAGAATGTGGGCCTGAGATCCTACGTTCAAAGTTCTTCAACAGGGACTAGCAAGATGGCTTATCAGGTAAAGGCACTTACTAAGCAAGCCTGGTGACCTGAGTCCCATCCCTGGAGCCCACATAAAGACAGAAGAAGATACCTGGTTCCACAAACCGTCCTCTGACCTCCATATAGATGCTGTGACCCTCCTCCATATACGCACGTGCACACAGGCACACACATACCCCACCCCAATAATAACTTTTTTATTTGATACTGGAGACATCAGGGTCTCCATTTGTCATTCTCTTTCTACAGAGATAGCAGATGGGATGTCTGACTTAGACAAAGGGAGAAATGACTCCTGTATAGTGGAAACTCGGGTTTGGAATTTCTTCTGAGTATAGCAGGCCTGGCCTTTACCCTTATTCAGTGCTTATGAAGCCCCTGGAAGGAATGGGCGTGAGGGAAGAGCTCTCTGTCAGTATGAGGCAGCAGATCTAGTCAGCTCCCCACTTCAGCCTGGGTCTTGACCACGGCCCAGAGCCTCTGTTCTTACTGTGTCTGGCCAGTGGAAACGTATGACCTGCCACTTCCCTGGCAGTGGACTGGACAACGGTCTGCTGTGCTGCCCAAGGCCAGAGCGATGGAGCAGGTGGTTGAGGCTAGAGCTAATTTTCAGTGCTCCTCTGCCTGTCTCTGCTGGAGGCCAGTGTTTGGACCCCGGTTAAGGATGTGCACCTGTCCCCACTGCTGTGCGGCTCAGTGAACTCCGTCCAGAATGAAACTGCTGATGATCCGTTGAGACATTCCTGATAAATCACACCTAGGCTCTGAAACAGTTCGGTATGGATAATTAAACGGACATCTTTACTGTGTGCCAGGCACTGCTTCAGGCACTTGGTGGTTAATAAGCTATGTAGTTATGATGACAGTTGTAGGAAGTGAGCACGCTCCTTAGTTTTACATGAAGGGAAACCAAAGTGCACATTTCTATGCGAGGACACGAAAGAGTGGGATTTCAGCACTGACGGTCTGCCCTTCCTGAGTCCAGGCTTGCTACTCTGTGGAAACGGTTCCATCGTGTTCATGATTTGCCCACCTAATGGCTCGCACAGGTCTTCAGGATTGCCTGATAGGCGCTAATATAGTCACCTGTATTTGATTTCTAAGGTTCCGAAGGAAGAATGGAAGGGCCACGGGCACTGTCTGCCTCTGCCCCTGTCCGCAGAAGCCCTTGTGAAACTGACCTCAGCCATGATGAGAGGGCAGGTACTTGTTCGCCCCCTCACCTTCAGATATACAAACTATTGACTTCTGCTCGTGTATTATACAATTGTAGTTAGTGCCTTACGCCTAACGGACTATCAGTCCGTCACCACCAGCCTTCGAAAGATGCTGTCCTACTTGAAGGCAGTGTTGGCCTTGTGCTGTTTTACTCGTTTACTCTCACGTACTCTGCAAGGCTCCATGCCATGGCTGTCACTTCAGTTTAGTTCTTTGGCACAGTCTTGTCTCCTACTCATCAGTGCTGGCTCCACAGGTGCGTGACACCACACTAGCCATTTTCTAGCGTGCTTAATTCCGTTATACGGGTCTAGCTTTCTGTTTGGCTTCTTGTTCATTCTATCTAAACATATGACTCCTATTTGCTGATAATGATTTTACTCAGAGTTTGCTTATCTGAGAAATACCTTCGTTAACGCTTGCCTTTTAGGAAGTTATTTTTACTGATTAAAGAATTGATCTTGCCCCTCCTCCACAGAATGGGTGCACCAAAGATATTATCTGAGACATGCTTTCTGATCGGAAGTTTGTAGTTTGTTTGTTTCTTCTTCTTCTTCTTCTTCTTCTTCTTCTTCTTCTTCTTCTTCTTCTTCTTCACCTTATTTAGGGTTTTATTTATCTTATTTATTTTTACTTTTTATTTTTTGGTTTTTCTAGACAGGGTTTCTCTGTGTTGCCCTGGCTGTCCTGGAACTAACTCTGTAGACTAGGCTGGCCTCAAACTCATAGAGATCTGCCTGCTTCTGCCTCCCAGATGTGTGCTACCATGCATGGCTTCTTCACTTTTTAAAAAGATTTATTTATTTAATGTGTATGAGTGTTCTATCTGATGCCTTTGGGAGATTCCTTGGCCCTAGAGTTAGGGGTTGTTGTGAAACACCATGTGCTTGCTGGGAACCAAGTCTAGGTCCTCTGCAATAGCAACAAGTGCTCTTAACCTCTGAGTGTCCCTCCAGCCCTTGTCATTCTTCTTTGTCTCTGTGGTGTGTTTTGCTGAACTCTGTAAGATTCTCTGTCTTGGGTTTCAGCAGTCTGAGTCTGCTCGTGTGTGACCCCTCCATCAAGTGTAGAGGGGCCTTGCCCTGCTTATTGTTCTCTGAGATTCTTGGGGACTCGATGTCTTTATTTTTGGAAAGTCTTAATCTATGTGTTTAATTTTTCCATGCTGGGATCAAACCCAGGGTTTTGCATATGCTAGGCAAGTGCTCTGGTCATTGTCTGTTACAGTGTTTTCTCCTGTCTTGCTTTTCTTGTTTTTGTGCTCTGGTTAATGGATTAGATCATTCAGGTGCTCTGTGCTGCTTATCCACCGTCCCCCATTGGACTGTTTATACTTAACTAGTTTGTGGTATTAAGTTTTATTTTTTCTGTGTATATGAGTATTGTGTTTGCACAAATATGTATGTATTATGTATATATTTATATATATGCATATATATGCACAATATGAGTGCCTCCTGCCCACAGAGACCAGAGGAGCTGCTAGATCCCCTGGAACTGGCGGTTGTAAGCCTCTGTGGTGTGTTGGGAATGAAACTCGGGTCCACTATAAGAGCAGCCAGTGCTCTGAACCTCTGAGTTGTCTTCTCAGTCCTCTAGTTTCAAGTTTTGATCCTTCCTTCATCCCACTATGTCAAGTCTGCTGGAAAGCCCGACAAAAAACACCTCATCTCTGTTACTGTTTTTTATTTCTAGAAGCTGCATTTGACTCTTAAATTCCAGCTCATTTCTGAAATTCACCATCTGTTCATGGGTAGTGTGCAGGCTTTCCATCACAGCCTTCCCATCCTAGTCATGCTACGCAGCACATTAACTGTTGCTGTTTTAAATAGTCCGTGATCATCTCCGATTCTAGTTCTATTGTTTTGTCTCTTTACAGTATGAGTTTTGTTTATTAATGCATGTGTATCTGTCTTATAATTTTATAGTGGATACCAGATATCATGTGTAGAATCAAAGAAACTATCTGAAATCAATACATTTATTTCTGGAATAGATTTACGTGTTCTACCTCTGGGCCTTTGAGCTGGGTTGCAATTTGTTGCTACGATTACCTTCAGTGTGCTACCAGCTCCATATTCTCTCTCAATTGGACTTTGCTCAGCTTTCTGACTTTCTTCCACTTTAGGCCTCTGCAGGCTCTGCCTGCCTGCTCCTCTCTTCTGCAGTAGAGACAGCTCTGTTGCTTGCTGGCTGGCCTGGGGCAGAGACAAAAGTGGCTTTCTTCTGTTGGTTTAGCCTCAGACTTAGGAAGGCTCTGTGTCCCGCATCTCAGGGGTACAGCTTTCTTAGTGACCCTGTCTCTTCCTAGTGTTGGGTTTCTTGCTTTTTCTTACATCTAAGTCTTCCTTTTCCCTTCCCCTGTGTCCTGGAGGCAGCAAGGTTTGCCACCTGTCAAAGCTGGGGCTTTTGTCCTTTAGAGGAGAAGGGTCCAGATACGCCTCCCATCTTTTATAGTACAGCCTGCACCTCCTCCCTAGACCTTTATTCCCAGACATTGTCAAGCTTTCTGCCAGCTCTGCTTCTAGTGTTTCTCCTAGAGTACCTGTAGAGACTTGAGAAGATCCAGGGAGCGAGTACAACCTGCCTTTGTGTCCTTAAAGGAGTCTAGACTTTTCATTCTAGAACATACAGCTGCCTAAAAAGTTTTGCTGATTCGTTGCCGTTACCATTTCTCTTCTAATGACGGTGACTGTACCATCTGTTCTTAGCACCACAACTCCCAGCAGCACACTGGTAGCTTCGAATCTGCCGTCATAGGGATTTTCACAGTAGACAGTGCACATGGGGCTTTTCCACAAGAGCCAGTTGAGTTTGCCAGACCACTGTTTGTAGAAACTGGGGAAGGTTGTCCATAGAGATTGGTGCCTTTTCTGAGTGACTTGGGGCCTCTAGGGTGGGTTGTACTTAGCAGAGTTAGGATGGTACACTGAGGGGACCTCTTACAGGATGGTTCTGGGCCATTGGGAGCCTAGCCCTGGTAGACCCCTCTGTGCCAGAGGTGTTGTTAGTTCATGGTCCTCCCTTTTCCTCCCTCCTTCAGACCGAAGCCAGGACAGCACCGCTGTGGCCCTGTCAGACTCCAGCTCGACACAGGACTTCTTTAATGAGCCCACAAGTTTGCTGGAGGGTTCTCGAAAGCCCTTTGCAGAGAAGAGGCTATCTGGACTCAGTGCTCCAGCAGGACCAACTGGTAAAGATCTTCCAGGGCCCACAGAGGAAAGAGGTAAGAAGCCTGACTTGCTAATTTGGGCCTGCTTTGATCTCCTGGGGCAGTCCAGGAAGAACTGAGGTGTCTGTGTCCTGAAAAGCTCAGACTCAGTCTTGTCCCATCTTCATGCTTCTGCTTTTTTGCCTTGGGGTGTTAGTGGGGAAGTTACTTACTTTTCTGGTCCTCTGCTCTCACTAGAGGATAGGACTGGTCCCAGTGCCAAGTCCCAGGAACTGTGAGGATTAAATAAGGATAGTGAAGGTATTGGCACCAGCGAGGTTTGCCAAGTGTGCTTTGTGATGCTGTCATAATGTAGTGATGCAGAAAGCCATGCTCACAGCGTCGGTGGAGTGTGTTTGCCCCTGCCTTGTTGAACAGTTATTAGAAGAAGTCTTGGGATTCTGAATGTCACAAATATGTTTTCTTTTTAGTCTGAATCATATCAGACTTCTTGGGAAATCTGCCTTTTTTGGGCAGAGAGCGCTGATCTAAGCCTGGGATATGCCCAGCTCCCTTGGGATTCCCTAGGCAGAGCCCCACTTCTAAGTTTGTAGCATGACTATATGCAGGCTGAGGCATCCCTGGTGCCACTCACAGACTGTGACTAGTTGACCATATATTTTTGAAATTTCCTTTCTTGTTTAATGTGTGTGATATGTGGGCATGGGTATATGTGTGCTGTGGCACACAGATGGACATCGGCACAGGTCCACACTTCTGCCTTGTTTAAGTAGGGTCTTTTTGAGGTTTTTTTTTGCTGCTGTACCACAGGGTACCTGGCCCATGAGCTTTCATGGATTCCCCTTATTCACCGCCTGACTTGCCACAGGAACTCTGAGATGAAAATAGAGACTGTTGTGTCCAGTTTCACATGGGTTTAAGGAATCTCTATTGAGGTCCTTGTGCTTGCACAGCAAGCCCCTACCCATTAAACTGCCTTCCCAAGAACTTTCCCATTCTTGCTGTGGACATGCGTGTGTGTGTACATGCCCAACAACCCAGTCCCACATTCAGGTGTTCCAGGTCAGACACTGCCTTCTCAGCCAGCTGGATAGGAAAGCTGTTGACTGAGGTTTCTGTCCTGCCCGGTTCCTGCAGTTGTTAAGTCCCAAAGAAATCACATAGAGGTTGATATTAGTTATAAACTGATTGGCCCATTAGCTCAGGCTTCTTATTAAGTCCTTTTTTTTTTTTTTTTTTTTTTTTTTTTTTTTTTGGTTTTTCGAGACAGGGTTTCTCTGTAGCTTTGGAGCCTGTCCTGGAACTTCCTTTGTAGACCAGGCTGGCCTCGAACTCACAGAGATCCGCCTGCCTCTGCCTCCCGAGAGCTGGGATTACAGCCGTGCGCTACCACTGCCCGGCTCTTTCTTATTAACTCTTATAACTTATATTAGCCCATTATTCTTGTCTATGTTAGCCACATCGCTCAGTACCTTTTTTTGGTGAGTCAGTCACAACTTGCTTGCTCTGTGGCTGGGTCACGATTGCAGAATGCAGCTTCCCTATTCCCAGAATTCTTGTTGCCCTACCTATACTTCCTGCCTGGTTACCCTGCCTATACTTTCTGCCTGGCTACTGGCCAATCAGCATTTATTTAAAATATAAGTGACAGGGTACAGACCATTGTCCCACAGCAGAAAGTGTCATGGCTTTTCCTGTTGCCAGGGCAAGGAACTTGAGATTGAGAAAGAATGAGGAGTTCAGCCTTAATCACTACCCTATGTGGCCTTCTGAGTAGGCTGGATGGGGGATAACTTGCATACTCTGGGGGCTTGGGCCTATTATCAAGTTTTTATGTAAGTTAAGAGTTCCCTTGGAACTGTGGCAGTGGAGCCAAAGCCACTTGGAGGAGGATAGGACTCTCCCAGCTCTTTGTTCCCTGCTGACTATCCCTGCTGATCTTTAAGGAGACTTATCAGACTCACCTGTGCTTGGTCCTTATTAAGATAAGGTTAAAATTGGGTTTGGTGGTGCATAGCTTTAATCCCAGAACTTGGGGAAGCAGAAGCAGGTGGATTTCTGTGGGTTCAAGGCCACCAGGACTACACAGTGAGACTTTGTCAAAAATAAACAACAAAGTGGGGGGAGGGTGAGAAAGGAGAGAGAAAATGTTAGAACCAGGTATGGTGATATACACCTATAATCCAGTGCTCAAAAGGCTGAGTCTGCTGGATCACAAGTTTTATAGCAGACTGGGCTGCATAGCAAATTTTGTCCCTAAAAACCAGAAAGAAAAAAATACGGCCATTGCCTCACTTTGTCAGCCATCAGTATGCTCTCCCCAATCATGCTGACACTCTCTAATGGATATAAATACACGGTAGGAAGTGTAGGCTAGAAAGAAAAGATTTACCATACTCTGCCCGTCCTAACATAGCATTTCTGGTTTTAAAATATGATGATTTTTACTTTTGGACGACTGAGACTGTTCATCTGTGTTCTGTGTCCCAGCATGCAGGGAACTCCTGTGCGTGCAGCTGTCATCATGGACTCGGTGTTAGTTACTGTTCCCTTGCTGTGACGGAGGTCCAAGACAGGAACCCTTAAGGGAGGGTCACACAGTTCATGGGGATATGTCTACAGAGCTAGAGCTCTGTCCTTTGCAGTTGAAGCTGTGCCAAGATTTGGTGTGTCTCAACAGGTCACGAAAGAATAGACTGGGACCTGGCTAGCATTCTGCAAGGTCTGACTGCCCAGCATTCCTCCAGCTAAGCCCTGTGTCCTAAAGGTTCCACAGCTTCTTGAAATAGCTGTAAAGCAAGTGTTCGGACACATGACCTCTGGGGTACATTTCCCATCCAAGCCACACCAGCCTCCCTCTACCATGTGTGGGACAGGATCCTTCTAGACTGATAGAGAGTATGCTAGTATACTCCTACTACTCCTCTTCTACTCAGGACTTGGTTGGGGTGGGGCAGGGGCAGACAGCGCATTGCTGGCCATTGGTAAGGAATGTTAGGGTAGAACCAGAGACCATTACAGTGCCCAACAGGCATGAAATGATGTGTTCCGTATCCGTCCCTGCCCCGTCCCCTCCCCACTGGTTTAGGTAGTTTTTTGACCTTGAGCAGCAGTCAGCCTCCCCGAGAGAGCCAGAGCTGCAGGCCACTGTGTACTGAAGTCTGTTGCACTCTCCTGACCTTCCAGGCCCACTCTTCTGGGCAGCCCTGCTACCAACTTGCTGCTTCCTGCAGTCCATAGCATAAGATGCAGGCCCTTGGTCATACATTCGGTGTCTACTACAGCAGACTGGCAGATCCAGATCTCCCTCAGGCACTGGGTATTGAAGGGAGCGGGGTCTTCTCTGGGACCATGCCTATCTCTGAGCCATCTTCCTTCCCACGTTGTCCAGCAAGTGTGAAGAGTCCTGTTTCTGAGAGACTAGCTTCCATTCTTTTTTCAGAGGCTGGCGTACTTCACACTGGTCTGCTAGTGCTCAAGGAAAGGCTTTTACACCGTCGACTGTTTCATCTTTCTGAAGCTAACCTTTGCAGGAGTCAGATCTTCACAATATAGGCCTAGATTGTGAAGGTGGCAGCAGTGAAGTGTGTGTGTGTGTGTGTGTGTGTAGAGAAAAACGTCGCTTAGAATTTCAGCACTTAAACAAGCTCACTCTGAAGTATATAAACCCAGTGTGGAAATTGTCAGTAAGCCATAGAGTCCATGCAGTAAACACTATACCATGACCACGTGTGCCTACTCTCTGGTCTTATGAGTAGAGACTTAGTGGCATTGTCTATGGTGACAGCCATAGACTTTCAGCCATGTCTTTCTACCCTTCCCAGGAAACCCATTAGATAGAGCGAGTTCTCTCTGACAGACCTCTGTGCTTCCTAGAACTCCTGCCCTCTGCTAGCCTCAGTACCTACACCGTAAGCATTCTAAGTCAGTTCTTGCCAATGAGATCTAGCTTAGGCTGCATGGCACTGTGTGTTTTTCTCACCTTTATATGGTGGGATCATATCATCCCATCTTCATGCTGCTGGTGTTAGGTTAGTACTTGACATCCTGGCTGGGAAGCATCCCGCAGATTTACAGCTGTTTCTGACCCTCTTCCTTTATTAAGGAAGTGGAAGAGTCCAGTGATCTTAGGCCCACTTAGCGGAGGGAGTGCATGTTTGGGTGACGCAGTTCACCTCATTTTTCCTAGACCACTCAGGCCCCCCAGAACTCTGAGCAACTGAGTCAACTATCAGAGATTCCATTTTCTTTGGTCCTTCAGTTGTGTGTACCAAACCCTTTTTGGATTAATTAATTAATGCTTTCTGTAAAAATTGTGTTTCTGAGACTTTGTCACTGGGTGTTATCCCTGTCCCCTGCCCCCTGTTTCCTGCCTGGGGCCAAGGACTGTATTGTCATTTAGTTCCCATTGTTCCCACTGCTGGTGTTGAGCCACATTTGGAATCCATTAGAAACCTGACATGCTTGTGAGCAAGACGACAGCGGCCCCAGCTCTCAACTAGGGGTGCAGACAGCATCCTGAGCCCATGAGAGAGATTATACAGCATGGCGGTAGAGACTCTAGGATTGCTGACAGTGATTCTGTCTACTTCAGATGGTGGGGTGGGAGCTGGGGTGAGGTGTTAGCACTGTAGGACAGGGACAGATGGTAGGAGCTAGGAGAACAGGCCCTAGTAAGCTCTGGCTGCTGGGAGAGGAGGCGGTCTTGTGCCTTTCCTCCACAAACACTGCTTTAGGGTGGGGACACCTGAACGAGGAAACACTTGGAGCTCTAAGACCTGTGAGCAGAGGAGTAAGGTGGGAAAAGGCAGAGGTGAGTGTGTGTGTCCAACTGAAGTAGATGGAAAGGGGGTGTTCTGAGGAACAGAGGGGACAGAGAATGACTGCCTAGCCCTTCCCTTGGTAAGGAGAACAATGATAGTCAAGCTTGCCGCATACCTGAGATCCGCCCATTTATGCTGGTACTTGCTGTGAGGATAACTTGGAGTCTTAGTCCTTGTCTTCTTGACTTTGCCATATTAGGGTTTCAGCTACTGCCAGGCCTCCCTCGCAGTAGAGGGAGGGCTGTTGAGGCTCAACCCACAGTGCAGATTGTCTTCAGAATAGGTGGTACTGGCTCCTTCCCCAGGCAGACTATTCAGAATATGCCAAATGCATAGAGACCTCAGGATCGTGCTCCAAAAGCCACCTTGTCTCTTACTTCCTGGGCCAGAGAGTCTCTTCTTTGGGCAGCCAAGGAGGCTGTGCCTCAGGAGGGGTGGAGTGAAGCCATTCGTTCCTGCCATCTTGAGAGTTCTCCTGGTCTCTGCCATGCTGGCTGGGTGTGGAGGTGTTGGACTTGTCAAGCAGGCGCCATCCATAAACACGTAGCAGCACACCTGCAGTAGCCCAGAGAAGGGTGTTGGACAGGCTGTAGGCCGAGGTCCTGATACCAGCGGAACAGGTGTGTCACACTGCTGATGTCTCCTTCCCTCTGTGTGCTGCTTTCCTGTGTGCCTCGACCAGCCCTGATGCCACCTATGCCATACTCACTAAGTAGGAGCCAGAGCCCAGCCTTGAACTCCTCCTCTCTATAGCCTCTAGGCCCTCTGCTGCAAGCCACTGGGACTTCCCATGTCTTGGGGCAGGAACCTATGTGACCATAGCCAGTAGGGGGTTGAGCCAGAACCACCAGTGGGCCCTGTATCTCCCGTTGCTGGGTTGATTGCCCACCAAGCATGGGCATCAACCCAGCTGTCCCTGCTACCTCACTGAGGTGTCTGTATCATTTGTGGTGGACTGCTACCTAAAGAGACCTTAAACCACAATGACCTTCTCTTCCTTCTTCTTAACCATAGGAAAAATTGAGGAGTCCTTGGAGAGCACAGAGGCCTTCCGGGTTGTAGATCAAGGCATCCAGAAGCCTGTGGCAGATTCCTCAGCCTCTGCTTACATCCTCAGCAAGCCCCCGGTGTCCACACCTTCCTCGTGGGATGGGAAGAAGAGGGGTGACCTCCCAGGGGAGCCGGTGGCTTTTCCCCAGGGACTCCCAGCAGGCGCTGAGGAGCAGCGCCAGTTCCTCACAGAGCAATGCATCTCCTCCTTCTGCCTTTGCTTGAGCCGCTTCCCACAGCACTACAAGAGTCTCTACCGCCTGGCCTTTCTCTACACCTACAGCAAGACTCACCGGGTGAGAAGAGCCCTGAAGGGTGTGCATGGCCACACCAGCCAGACAGGGGAGGCTTTCAGGCAGAATAAAACAGCATTGGGGTTAGGACATGGCTAATTCATCCGAGAGGGGTGTGAAGAAGAGCTGCAGAGCCAGAGCTAGTCCAAAGTGTGGACTGTGTGCCCTGGACTACAGGTCTCCTTGCTGTCACCTTGCTCTGGACTCGCCTCAAAGGTACAGCTGCGTGAACCATCTTCTACCCCCTGCTTGGTGGATGTTGGGTGCTTTTAGAAAGCAATGGCTGTGCCCTAGGCTTCAGCACTCCTGAGGGCTTTCCAGTCAAACCATTTTTTCTGGCTTTTAGCATTGGTGGGAGGGCCAGAGTGACTTTCTTTTCCTTCGGTTGTTCCTCATTCAAGAAGTGACAGGGAGAGAGTTCCCTTGCCTCTGGTGCCCGTTCCTGCAGAGCTGTACTCTAAGGGGGTGCCGGGCTAAAAATATGCACATGAGCAAGCCAGGCAGCTTTGTTGTGACCAGCACTACAGAGAAAATAGCAGGGTGCACAGAGCCCCGGGTACTGCTGCAACTCTGCTAAGGCTGAGACCTGTAGTATGAGGGGCAACAGGTAAGGCTTGAGGGAGGAGAGACAGTGCCAGCAGCCCAGGAGAGTGCCATGTGGGTTAGGGCTAGGAAGAGCTAGAGTGTCCAGGTGAGCAGGGCATCTTATAAGGTCTTGCTGTGAGACCTACCTTCATGTGACCCTCCCAGTTCAGTCAGACTCTCCTCCCAGAGGCCTGCTGCCGCCCCATTGTGGGCCCCACTACATTCTTGTGGATGTTTGCAGAACCAAGTAGAGTAGTAGGCCAGAGAAATAGACCCTGACATGGTGCTAGTCACTTCACAGAACTCTGGGGACTAGGTGTCAGAAGGCTTGTCCTTGCAGTGACTGACATATTTTATAGCTTGGCCAACTTTCTGAGAGTACAGCAGGTAAAATTAGCCTCAGCTGAGCTGGGGCGGAGTCAGTCACATCATCACCAGTCTCTGTAAGGTGTGTGCCAGCCATAGTAGACTGACGTGTCCAGCTGCCTGAGACCATCTGCTGCCTGTTACACTGTTGCCCTTACTCTGAAAAGCTGGTCTCACTAGCTGGCCTGCATTTGGCAGTGAACCTCACCTCCATGCACCAGGTTTTTGTGTTCAGGGGCTGGGTGTTAAATCCCAGCCAGCACATGTCTCCCCTGCTGAAGACATGAGCTGCACATCTCCTCTGCTTTCATTCTTTCTAGTAACCTTTTCCCCTTGAGGAGCAGCAGAGCACGCGGTAAGAGCCTCCCAAGTCCCAGTGAGGAGATTCAGTCATCAGTCCCCTCCATATTCCCCATACAGCTGTGCTCAGACAGTTCTTGTTCCAATGTGCCTTCCCCCAGCAAAGGATGAAACAGAATGTGGGGTGCAGGATGGCGGGTATGGATTATCACTCCCAGAAAGGAGCAAGAAGAGGGTGCAGTAGGAAACAGACTGGGTTGCTAGACTGCCCTTCGAAGCTTCTATGTCTTGCTAAAGGCTTTATTTCAGTCCCAAGGGGGCCATTGTACAGAATACTTAGCATGGCACCAGGTATAATATATGCTGATTAAAGACTTCTCTTTCGCAGAAGGAGAGTTGTCAAAGTAGTGTTTGTGTCAGGATTAAGAAAATACAAGCAGAGCCGGGCAGTGGTGGCGCACGCCTTTAATCCCAGCACTTGGGAGGCAGAGGCAGGCGGATCTCTGTGAGTTCGAGGCCAGCCTGGTCTACAAGAGCTAGTTCCAGGACAGGAACCAAAAGCTATGGAGAAACCCTGCCTCGAAAAATCCAAAAAAAAAAAAAAAAATACAAGCAGACGGAGGTGATGCACACCTAACTGTCCCAGTCATTGAGAGGTAGAGGCAAAGGATTACAAAATCAGGGCTATCCTCGGTTACACAGAGTTTTGAGTTTTAGGGCAGCTAGGTTTTAAGAAACCAAAAGTAAAGAGAAGAGGGGAGGAAAGAAGACATAGAGGAAGGGGCAGGTGGGGGAAGGAAGAGACACAAAGAGAAACCATGATTCCATACCTGAAAACAAACTCTTAGGCCTGATACTGTTCTGGCTATCGTGTACAGATAATATTAATGCCGGAGCGTCTGGAGCATCAGGTTCTTCAGTTGTAGACCTTGTTACTCCACAGTCCTCCACTGTTGAGTGTGTCCCCCTATGGGTGATGTGTTTTCCCTTGTGCTCTTCCCAGGAATGATCCCCAGGTCATGTTGGTCATTCTGTGGTAGTTCGTGTGGTAGATCGGCCGAGTCAGCCCAGCCACATCCATTAGTTTCTGTGGGCTCTTCTCGTACCGAACTCCTAGATTGGGTTCCTTCATTTGTGAAAACGGAATGCTGACCATGATTCTCAGAGAGACTCCCCTGGGGCGGGCACTCTCTTCTCAATGTTAGGCCTCCTTTGGAGACAGCACTGTGGAATGTCGTTTGTGTCGGTTGTTTCCAGAACATACCAAGTATACTCTGGACCCCAACTGTGTCCCTGAGCTGCCTCTACTGTTGGAGGAGCCTTTATGGGCTTCGTTGACAGGCCTTTGCTGAACGCCAGTTCCCATCTACAACTTGAATGACAGGTTAGCACCAGGCTCTACTGAGCGGATGAGTTAATAACTTCCTGCTGCTCAGGGCAAAGCTCTGTTCTAGGGGTGAGTCTTGGATGCCAACTCTGCTGGCAGCTGCTTAGATGTTGGAACACAACTCAGTTGTAGCTGACTAATTCAGAAACATTAACTGGCAAGCAGTGACCTCTTTCCACACATAAGTGTTTGCTAACAAACACTTCCCAATGTGTGTATTTGACAGCAGCACATTTTGTACACAACCCGCCTATAGGCTTAGCAGTGGCATTTTCCTGTGGCCAGCTGGATTGTTAGGTGTCTGTCTATTCAGGGATCCAACAGGCAGCATGGACATTTAACTGCTGCTGATCCCTTTGGTCTTTCACATGTCACTCCAGGTAAAATCATTGCCTTGCTGTGTGTTGTGGAGCAGATTCTCCTAGGGACAGACCCAGGGTTTATGGCTAGGCGCTCTTGGAGGCCCAGGGCTATTTTGTTGAAGGAGTCTGCTGGTGGTACAGGATTGTGATGATGGGGTGGGTAGGCAAACAGCCCTTCTTTCCCATTACCCAGTCCCATCTCCTCTGCCCCTCCATCTCTGTAGTCACTGTACAGCACCCCACCCCCTTCCCCCATCCAATTAGGCCTTCTGAGGACTGTGCCTTGTAGAGTTGCCAAGGCTAGGTCTTCTCCTGGGGAATCTTTGATGCCTATATGTGGCTGCCCTCCATGTTGTATCAGGATATCTTATCGTTTGGGCTCCTGCCCTCACCAGTAGGTAGGGTCTGGGTGAAAGATGTCCTGTTGTCCTGGAGCCCAGGTCCTCCAATTTTTGCTGTAACTATTATAAGTATATTACAGTCCAGGGCAGAGAGACTGATAAAATGGGCCCTGGAGCCAAACAGCCAAAGAAAAATGGAGTTGGTGAGATACATTCCCAGTTTCAATAATACAGTAATAAAATTTGTAATCAATAATAGTGTGGGATGTTATTCAGTCTACCAATATGGATGAACCTGAGGATGTTGTGTTCAGTGAAATAGGCCAGCCACAAAAAGGCAAACACTGAGTCTGTGCAGGGGTGGCCCGGACAGAGCCTGCTGTTTTGGCCGAAGGCTTGTGTGGAAGGAACCTACTTTTTTGGTTTGATCACTGTTGAGACCCCACAGTAGTGCACATTCTGGTGTAGAATCTCCAAGGACCACTGAGCCCTGGACTTGCTAGGTAGCAGGCCCAACTGTTAAGAAGTATATTAGTCCTAAACCTGGGTATTCAGTACCTTCCTTTGCCCCATAGGCAAAATGCTGTTTTGCCTGGTATTCTCAAAATGTCTTGGGCCACTATGTCCAATAGGGTCTTAGCAGGCTTTACTTTGTGCTTTCTAGAATAATGTCTTAGCTAAGGTAAGTTCTTATTAGGCTAGCTGAGGCTAGCCTCAAACTTGTGGCCAGCCTTCTGCCTCAGTCTCACTGGTGCTAAGATTGCAGCACTCCTTGCTCAAATCAGGAATGCATTTCAGTATGCCTGCCTTTTGATTTGATAGAGTATTTGGGCCTGGGGGGTACAGAGGGAGTGAGACAGATTGCCTCATAAAGGTTGCTGTTTTCCCAACTCTTACTCCCACCAAGGGATGTAGATACAGAAGTCTGAAGGGGTTTGAACACTTTGCCTGCAGCATCTGTTACAAATAAGATTCTTTAAGCTTAGAAAGTAGAATGTCCTCCCTCATTGTCCAAGATCCATGAGTGGCAGACTTAGTTGTGTTTTAGTGTGTGTCTGGACAGGTTCAACATCATAACTGAGCAATTACCGTATAGAAGGCCATTTTGAGGAGCCAGGGATCAAAAGCAAGCTCTCAAGTGTGTCCATTGGTTATCAGGGGGTAGAAAACACATCTGCTGGCAGCTAGTGATAGGTCTGGGAGGAAATAAACTGGGTAAGGGAACGGAAGGGATGATGTGGCTATTTGGAAAATCCAGAGAAGGCCTTTCTGACCAGAGTTGTGAATGAAACGGTGGAGTCCTGAAACCCATGAGGAAGTTGCGAGTAAGGCTTCCAGGTGGATGGTAGGACTGCACCGCCATCTTGAGATGAGATCAGGCCTGGTACACAATGATGGATATGGAGGAGAGCAGAATCACAGGCTCCCTAGGGCCCAGGTAGGCAGTAGAAGTTGCAAGGACACTGTTGCAAGTGAGGTTAAAACCATCGCAATGTCGAAGGTGGGGGTTTGGGCATTGTGTGGCCTTAGGGTGAGAGACACTGAAGTATGGGGCAGACAGGAAGTAGCCTCTATGATTTGGAAACCTAGTAGAACCCAGTGACACTCTTTGAGGGTCTGAATGAAGATCAGGAACAAACCCAGGAGGGAGGAAGGATGCAGTGCCATCCATGTTGTCCCCAGAGACTGGCGGCCTCTTAGGGGCCATGCTTGGCAACCCCACAGGGCACAGTCAGGAAGTATCTCTACTTCACCGAATGCCTTTTTCATTGAGTAGTAGTCCCAGGAATAATGGGAGAATTCCCTTTTCTCTTCCATTCTTGGAAAGAGGGTCTTGCTTAGGGAGCTAGGGTTGTCCCGGAACTTCTGTTCCGCTTGCCTCCGCCTTCTGAGTGTTGGGATGGCAGTTTGTGCTGCAGCACCTGGCTCTTTATGCATACAACACATACTACTTTGATTCTGCTTTTTTAAAATTTGCCCCATGCACCCAAATTCTTAATTATAACAATTTTAATGGCCATACTACATTTTCTTGGTTAATAGGCCACACTTTATTTCACCAGCTCCATGTTAGGCTTTTTTTTAAACATGGAACTGTTTATCATCGTTTTTCTATTATTAAAAAGGTCAAAATTGATTCTAAGTCTGCTGGGTCCAGGATTTGGAGGCATTCATATCTTCACTCCCATATAGTTCTTGATGAGTATAGAGCAGTGGTACTCATGACTGCTGGCCTGGGAATTGGGCATTTGAATGTGGCCCACCCGTCGTTCCTACTGGAGCATTAGAGCACGGGCGGAACAGCGACTGAACGTTTTCCCTGCTCCTCGTGTGAAGAAGCATGTACTCCGTGCTTCAAAGCTGGGGACCAAAGTCAAAGGTAGAGCACTCTGATCTCACCCACCCCTACTCTTTGGGCCTCGGGTGGAGAAAGCAGTAACCCCACTGGTGTATTTATTCGCCTTAAGAGATAGCATATTCCCTTGGGACCCTGGAAAGGCCTGTGCATGCTAGAGGCAGTGGACATAGCCTACCAGCAGCTGAGCCTCGGAAAGAATGGCCTCTGCCTTTCCTTGGTGGAAGTTCCTCCTGGAGCTAGACCCTGTGCTTGCTCTCACTCAGCATGCCAGCTTCAAGTAGGAACAGGTATCTGGACTCAGCGGGTTCAGCCAGAACCACCTCCACCTACAAGGCTGCCAGGGGTCATGTGGACAGAGTGCCCTCTACCTGCTGTGGTTGCTCTCATGCTGGGCTGTCCACTGCTTCCCTGCCCCTCCTTGCAGGTCCGGTCAGATGATAGGGGTATAGTCTTACTTGGGCAGAGCAGCCTTGACTTTCTGAGGCATTAGCCTTTGGTACTGAGACCCAGGCCTTGCCCTTGAAGATACCGGACTTAGAGTCAGTGTTGAACTTCACTATCCAGCCTGCTGGAAAGTGGCTGTCTGCTGTTAGCTCCATGGAAACTCAAGCCTTTTCTGCCTTAAATGTCTTTTCTAGAGGTGCATACTTAAGACCTCACCTGTGCCTGTTGCTAAAAGATCTTCATTCTTGTGTGTCTCCAACCCTTGGCCACAGAGTCCTGAGCAGTTCTAGGAAACTCCTTGGTGGAGGGAGGGTGGCTCTTTGTAGAGGCAGAGCAGAGGTCAGAGGTTCAGTTGTCAGGCAGTGTGTATCTCACTTGGAGTCAGAGTTTCTACTTAGACCTAGAGTAGTAATGGCATGCAGAATGGGAACAGATGAGCATTTGGAGCTCCTGGAGTCAGAGTCTGGGTCCAGGACCAGGCAAACAAGAGGCTCAGGAGAGAACGTCGATTAGATGGGGAGGGTGAATACCGCAGAAAGGGTGAAGTGGTCATGGGTCCAAAGGGGCATGTCTAGGCTTCTCATTTCAGCCGCATACCCAGAGAGGGGAAGGTGTGGCCAGACGCGTGGTGGGAAAGGACTGATCTCTGTATGGCCTAGTGAAACAGTCTTAAGTCAGGCCTGTACCTGTTCTCCCTTCTGCCTCTCAGGACTCCTACATGGGTTCCAGCAAGAAGCCCCATTGCCAAGAGAGTCTGAGCCCAAGCAAAGCCCAGGCCTCTAAGGCAACTCTACTACAGGTTATAATAAGTAAGGATTCGTGATAAATGAGTAGGGTCTGCCTTTGGGGCTAATAGGGGTACCTAGTAATGTGTGGACACTGAGTCTACAAGGCAGATTTGTAGGGTTGGGCTAGCTGAGGGGCCCCTCTATGCCCACTGCCTTACGAAGTCTGAGGTCACATTCCTAAGTCAGCTATGGTGAACAGGAAAAAAAAAAAAATTACTTCCAAAAATGCATCCCACAACCCAGTGTTCAGAGCTCTGGTCCAGAGCCTCCTGGAGCTATAGGATCATTGTCTGAAGAACTGCTCTTGACCACAGTTTTTGCCAATGCAGCCATGAAGAAGGGACCACCTGCTTTCCCATGGGCACCCTGAGCAGCCCACACACTCACTTCCAACCTACTTTTGTTTCCCCAGAACCTCCAGTGGGCCCGTGATGTGTTGCTAGGCAGCAGTATCCCATGGCAACAACTGCAGCACATGCCGGCACAGGGGCTCTTCTGCGAGAGGAACAAGACCAATTTCTTCAACGTGAGTACTTTGCCTTGTTGATTTCTGAGGCTGCTTGCTGCCACTGTTTCTCACTAAAGCTGTGTGAATTGCCCCCCTGGCCAGGTGTTTACAGAGCTTCAGGTGTGTGGCATTCTCAGAGGGTAGACAGGGGGATACAGATAAGAGAATTCAAAACTGATACAGGGCTGTAATTAACTGAGTGACTTCTAGCAAGTCATTACTCCCTCTGGGCACTCGGGAGAGGCATGGATGAGCTCTATGTGTCCTCTAGAGGCCTGGGTGTTCAGGGGCCGTATGTGCAGTAGAGAAAGAGGACTTTGGGCTTGTAGCTCTGGAGCAGGTTCACCTCCCCCGTGTGATCTTGGGCACCGAGGAGACTCTCACTAAGGCTAACTCTACTACTTGAAAACAAGTTTTTCCAAGGTTGGGCCTTCAGTGCCCTTCCAGTCAGCTTTGCCATTCCTTGTGACAAGGAGCAGTGTTTTCATGGCTGGGTCATCATCCACCTTCCAGGGCTACCCTGTCTGCCTCCTAAAAGCCTTCTTCAGCACCTGTCAGCCCAGTCTCCCCACACGCACCCTGCCCCACCCAGGGACAGTGGGCTGTCGCTCCTTTCTACCTCTAGTCTAGGTCTTCTCCCCTCCACACCCCTCCCAGAGTGGCTGGCTCCCAGTTAGATGGACTTGGCAGGCCACACAGACCCTCTTAGTTTTTGTTTCTTCTCTGTTTCCCATGATGTTTTGATATTAGCAGAGAGAAATTTAAGGGCAGGGTTTGCCAACAGAGGTATTGACAGGCAGGAAGGTTGTGGCAGAGGCAGGTCTTTAAGGTGAAAGGCTGCCAGAGCCCTCTCTGAGAGCTGGTCAAGTGGTGAGGGTCCAGTTCCATGGCTCATCCTTTCTCCCAGGCTGTGTAACTTGTGGGTGAGGAGGCACTCAAGTCTAGAACCTTGCACCTACCCGTGCTCACTGTTGTCATTGATAGGCAGGTAGTAGGTGTCTTTGCTAATCAAACTACATGGTACTACAGAATCTGCTGTGAAAAAGGACACCCACATACCCCTTTGCCCAGACCTAGTCTTGCTCTTCTTTGTCCTGAGAGTCCTTCCAGAAGGCCTGCCGTAAGCCAGTGCATGTATCTACACGTGGAGAACAGAAACGTGCACAATTCAGCCCTTAGTGTGTGCTTGTTGTCTTGTTTTTTTCACTAATAGCATCTCTTAGAGAGTGTTTTAAAATATGTTCATTCTATTTATCATTTATTAAAGGGCTGGGGATCAAAGTCAGAGACTTGCTCAGGCTAAGCTAGTGTACAGTAATCTTTTTCCTCTGCCTGAGAAAGGGTCTTGCTATAGCAGGCTGCTACCTAAGCCTCAGTGCTGGAATTACAGGCCTGCTCTGTTGCATCTGCTGTTTTCTTGAGTCAGGACCTCTGGCTTAGGCTGGCCTCAGACTCACTGAGGAGTCAGATGCTCTTTCCTCTACTTCCCCAAGTGCTGAGCTTCTAGGCATTCATCCCTACCCCTACCTTTGATCACTCTATATAGCTGCCCAGTATTCAGGTGGATGCCCATCGTCACCCACTGGTGGATCCAGTCTTCCGTAACGTACATTGTACATTTGTGGGAGCCCATTTATAAGAAAAAGCCTGAAATAGAATTCCTGCCTGGGTTAATGTTTGTGGTACTTTTAAAGTATCAGAAGATACTGCTCTCCTAGATCTGCCCCCCACCCCTACCTTTACACACATCCTTTTTTCTCAAGGCTTCAGCAGTTCATCAGTATTGTTAATATTTTTAACTTTATAGTTTTAAGGGTTTTGTGTGTTTATGTGCATACATGTGTGGGGACACTTGTCCCATAGTATGCGGCCCTGGCTTGTAAATAGAGGGCAGAGGGCCGCACTGTGGAGCTAGTTGTTTACCTCCTGCTTTGTCTTGGGTTCTGGGGGTCAAGCTCAGATTGCTAGGCTTGTACAGCAAGTGCTTCTGTCTTTGGAGCCATCTTGATGGCTCTGATTTTGGGATGGTGGTGGGGAACGGATTGTTCTGTAGTTTAGTCTGGCCTCAAACTCATGATTCTCCTACTTCTGCCTCCTGAGTGAATATCTGCTTTTTAGTAAGGGAGAAAAAAAAAAACCTGTTGCCATGTTCTATTCCCTATGAGTGAGATTCTGTATAATATACTAACTGTGCAAATAACTTCTCTGTGGTGTTGGGCATTGAACCTAGGTCCTCACACATATAGAACAGGACACTCCTGTGTCCCTGGCCCAACAGTTTTGGCTTGTGCACAGTTTTTGTTCATGTTCATTGTTCTACTGGACGATCAGTTTTTTTGTTACTGATCTAGAAGACACTATATATTAATTAAGTGGACCCTTTTGCAAACATATTTTTCTAGGTTGAATTGGAGTCAGGCATGTTGTTTAATTTTTGGAGCTCTTTGGTAACTCAACTCATAAAGTGGAGTTCCATTACGTCACAAGAATGTTAACTATAGGATCCCAGGTTTGGTGGTACGTGCCTGTAATTCTCTGCTCGGAAGGCAGAGACAGGACTGTCTGGGCTAGGACGACACAGGGAAACTGTCTTAAACAAAGCAAAGTAACTGTAGGAACCAAGTTAGGTAATGGTGTAGTGCCCGAAACCCAGAATGGCACATGGTAGGTACTCAGAAAAATAATTTCCTTCCTGCCTTTCCTGTGTTGGTCCTCTGACCTATTAAAGACAGCACAGGGATATTGCAAGGTGAAGCAAAGCCTCCGTGCCTTCCTCCCTCCTCGCTGATACTGAAATTGAAAAGTCATCCCTCAGGCAGGTGCTGCAACCTCTTTCCCGTTATGTTTGTTCCCTGCAGCTCCTCCTGTGGTTTCTAGAACCTCTCCCTCCAGAAATGAGTTCTACCTGAAGGGCGTACGAGAATCCCTTGTGGGCTTGGTATGTGTGGCATTCCTCCTCAGCCACCTCTGTGATTTAAACTCCTTAGCCTATAAGACTGGGGGCCTAGCCTGATAGGAGTGTTGGTCAGGGGCCCAGAGAGATGGCTCAGTAGTTAAGAGCACTAGCTACTCCTTTAGAGGATCTGAGCTTCATTCGCATCACCTACATGGTAGCCAATAGCTGTCCATAAGGGCAGTCTCAAAGGATCCAATGTCCTCTTCTGACCACCAAGGACACCTGGCACACGAGTGGTACACAGACAGACACATGCAGGCAAAGCACCCACATACATAAAATAATGAAATTAATTTTTTTTACAGAAAGGTTCTGAGATGCCCTGAGAATTCTGCACGTACATCCTGCATCCTTGACCAAGTTTGAGAAAAGTATTTAGCAACATGTCAGAGAATCATTTCAGGCAGTCCTTTGCTCCTTTCTGGGTGTGGCAGTGTCTTTGACAAGTCTATAGGTTGGGTAAGCAGGCTGCCTCAGTCCCTTCAATCACACGCTGAATGCAGAGTAGACAAGTGCCTTGACCTGCAGTCCCTGTGGGCCTGCTTCCCTGGGCTGTGCGTACTGTCCCTCTCGCTCAGATCCTCGCAGGGAACCCTTCTGTTACATAACAACACTTTTAAAAAATTGTGGGGGGGGTCTTAAAATAGGACCACATTGTCACCAGCAGCAGTTCAGACACAGGGAAACCTTAGCCCTGTGACAACTCCCCAGGCACTGTATCTTCTCAAACCCGCTCCTGTGAGCACCCCTGTGTTGGCTTTATAAATAGGCCTGCCTGTATATGAGAATGTGTCAACAGTGTATGTGACTTTCAACAACTTGGTTTTATTGTTGTTTGTTTTACTGACACTACACCTTGGAGAAGTTTCTAGGTTGCTTTGCACCTGCCGTGGCTCCAGGGTTCTCCAGGCCCCAACCCAACATTTCTTGCCATGCTAGGCACCAGGCCTAACCTAAGATAGCAGAGGCAGCAAAGGAGGAACCCCACACATAGCAGGCCCAAGGGATTCTCCTAGTCCTCTAGGTGCACATGTCAAGGAACCCAGTGCTTTCGTCATTGTCCTCCTTTGGTCTGTTCTCCGAGTCTCCTGGGCTGGCCCAGCCTGGCCTAAAGGCTACACTCAGTGCATAAGTGAGTGTAAGTTGGTTCCACCTTTTCTTTTAATGGGTGGCCTCCAAGCACCACCTCCTAATCCACTGAGTGCTGATGTGGCGGGGAACATGATGCAGGGGGTTTGTCCGAGAGCCTCTTATGCACATCTTTGTTCAAGGCCTCAGTGAATGCTGCAGACCATGGAGGAAGTACAGGGAAGGGTGCTGCCCAGTCAGGAAGCAGGTTGGGAAGAGAGGTCAGGATTAGAACACCCTGGGGGGTAGTTCTCTGGGCCCTCCCTGAGGAAACTGACTGAGGCTCTGTGGGAAATGTGACAGGGCAAGGGAAGAAGGTAGATTCTAAAGGAGGTGGGTAGATGGAACCTGGGGTTCTAATGCCAGATTTCCTGAGGACTTCTTCCACACAGGGCCTGCCACACAGCTCGCTGGCCCTCTGTAGTGACACAGACAAAGCAGGCAGCATGTCCAGTGTATGGCTGGACCCATTGAGCGGGGAAGGAGAGAGGAGGGAACTTGATACAGACACAGTCGCATTGTTTCACATCCTGATGGACAAGCATCGCTAGAGAGACAGCTCCCTGCCTTAGCCTCTTCTTGTACCCTGCTTCTGTCATGGAACAATCTTTATTCATGGGCTGGGAAGATGGTTCAGTGGGTGTCTTGGTTTGCTTTTTGTTGCTGTGATAAAGACCATAACAAAAAACAAACTAGGGAGGAAGGGGTTCTTTTATCTCTCAGGTTATACAGTGTATCCTATATGGAAGTCAGGACAGGAACTCAGAGCAGAAACCTGGAGGCAGGAACTGAAGCAGAGACCACCATGGAGGGGTGCTGCTTACTGGATTGCACCCCACGACTTACTCAGCCTGTTTTCTTATACCACAGCACCACCTGCCCAGGAGTGCCTCCCCATCAATAATTAATCAAGAAAATGCCCTACCCACAGGCA